AAGAAGATGAGGCTGGAGTGGATTGAGAATTAGTAGAAAACATAGTGGAGTAAGGGAATTTGGATTCATGGAACAAAACATCCTTGGAGATGTAGATATGTCCATTAGATGCAAGGCACTTGTACCCCTTGTGAGTTGTGGAGTAACCAAGGAATATACATTCTTGGGATCTATAATCCAACCTATGAGAGTTATAAGGCCTAAGAAATGGATAGCAGGAGCAGCCAAACACCCTAAGATTAGAGTAGTCAAGAGGTTTGCCAAGCAGCTTAGAATAAGGTGAGTGATTGTCAAGTGTGGGGCTAGGAAGTCTATTGATAAGGTAAGCAGTTGTAACAAATGCATGATCCCAGAATTTGAGTGGGAGGGTGGATTGGGCAAGTAAGGTGAGGCCAGTTTCAACAATATGGCGGTGTTTACGTTCCATAATGCCATTTTGGTGGTGTGTGTGTGGACATGTGAACCTATGAATAATACTCAAGTCAGTTAGATACTTTGTGAAAGGCCTGAATTCACCACCCCTGTCAATTTGGACACACTTAATTGGATAGTTGAATTGGAGTTCTACCATTTTCTTAAAGTGAGCGAATTGGATTAGGGTATCAGATTTGAGTCTAAGTGGGAACACCAAAACAAATCTAGAGAAAGCATCTATAAATGTTAAAAAATAGGTATACCTGAAGATGTCATGGGAGCTTGTCCCCATAGATCACAAACTACAAGCTCAAAGGGCTGACTGTACACAGTTGTGGATAAAGAGGTGGGAAGCCTATGGGATTTGCCTAAGCAGCAGGCAGTGCACAGTTCAGCAGGAGGTTTTGAGGGGATAGGTATGTGACACAATTTGAAAACTTCAGTTATAGCATGATGATTGGGGTGCCCTAATCTGGTATGCCACAGAACATATTTGTTATTTAAGATAGATGATGAGCTATTAATATGTTGAGATGATAGTTTAGGATTATGAGTAACAGCATAAGGAGAATTGGAAAAATTGCTCATATTATTACTATTGAATGAAACAGAATTATAAGAGGGAACACAATTTGAACAACAACTTGAAGTGTAACTGCTATAAGCTACAGGAGTAATAGAGTAGTTTACAATTCATGCCCTTATTTTATCTTTATATTCTGTTGTGCTGAGTTGTCAGCTTTGTTATGCTGAGCTGTTAGTTTGTTACACTCTATCAGCTATTTGTTAGGATTACATTGCTATATATAGCAGCCTCTTGTATCACTGTTCTATATAGAATACAATGAGATTCTCTTTCAATTCTCTCTCTTATACCTAATTCTATCATGGTATCAGAGCATGATGGTTAGGGTGTCCCAACCTAGTATGCCAAAGCACATATTTATTAGATGCAATAGAGGTTGCATTATTAGAGTGTGGTGAAGGTAAAACAGTACTAGCAGTAGCAGAATTAAGAGAAGGACTGAAAAAGGAACTTGTAATATTATTATTGCAAAAGTCATTACAAGGAGACAGATGATTTGTAGTATTACTATCAAAGGATTCAATACAATGAGATATAGAATCTGTCATATATGAAGTATTACAACTGTTTGTTGCAGGATAACTATAACTAGAACTACAAGAGGGGAGAGACTTGGACAATTGAGGAGCAGCAGGATTGGGAAACTTATAGAGACCATCAGCACCAACAAGACCACTGAGTAAAACTTCAGAAGTAGCCTGAGATTTGACAACACAAAACTTAGGATGAAATTCAAAAAACACAGCATTATCTTGAGCAAATTTACTCACACTCATAAGATTTTTGGTGATGTGAGGGACATGTAAGAGATTTCTAAGGGTGAGAGATAGGTGAGGTTTGTGAGGTAAGGGAAAAGACATAGAACCTACAGAGTTGATAGACAAACCTTGGCCGTTACCTATGAAGACTTGTTCAGTTCCAGGCACAGAGGCAGAGTCAGACACATTAGAGGCATCAGGAGTAACATGATGAGAAGCTCCTGAGTCAGGATACCACCATTGATTTGTGCTACTAGCTTCAGTACCTGCATAAAAGGCTTGTGGTGCAGAAGATCTAGGAGGTGCAGCTCTGGGAGAAGGATAAGCAAACTGCACAGGATAAACAGCACGGGGAGCCACAAGGAAAGGATTGAAGGGAGCACGTTGTTGTGGATAACTAGCACCACTGGAATTTGCATAACGATAGTAGCATACTGAAGCATCATGACCAGGTTTGTGACAAATCTGACATGTTGATTTTCCAAAACGACCTCCACCACGGCCAAAACGACCACCGCCGCGACCAGAACGACCACCACGTGCGCCATAGGAATGATTTTCAGCATTAGCTGTGACATGACTCGTTCCTTGAGGAAATGCCTCCGAGACGACTTGATCGGAGGCGACCGGAGCAGGGGAAGGTGTTGCCTGAGTAAGATTGACTGTCACCGGTTCCGCAATCGCAGCTTTGCGATGCTTCTCCGATCGCGACTCATGAGCAAGCAAGGAAGACTCCAATTCTTCCAAGGAGCTTACGTCATCTTTGCTATTAACGGCGGCGACGATAGAATCATAATCCTCAGGTAGCGAATCAAGAACGATCTCAATTAGGTTACGAAGAGGAACAGAATCACCGATGGAGGTTAGCGACTCACTGATCTCACGTGAACGCGTCATAAGCTCAGCAATCGTCAGTGAACCCTTCGTAAGACGCCGGAGCTCTGATCGGAGTTGACGAGCCTTGGTGGAGAGAAGAACGTCAAAGTAACGATGAACTTCTGTCCAGACTTGCCACGCGTGCTTGCACTCAACAAGCTTTGGAAGAAGTGCATCGGAGATGGTAGAAAGAAGCCAGGTGCAGATGAGAGCATCCTGTTGCTCCCACTCAAGAAACACACTGTGAGATGCAGGATCTAAGGGAGACGGTGGCGGAATCACCGGAACAGTAACAAAGCGTTGAAGACGATGGCCACGAACGACGCCATCAATCTGCTGCTTCCACTGTTTGAAATTCTTGTCGTCAAGCTTAACAGAAATTAGGTGAGAAAGCTTCACCTGAGAGGAAGGAAACAAAGGCTCCATGGATCGGAAAAAAAAAACTTAAGCTCTAGATACCATGATAGAATTAGGTATAAGAGAGAGAATTGAAAGAGAATCTCATTGTATTCTATATAGAACAGTGATACAAGAGGCTGCTATATATAGCAATGTAATCCTAACAAATAGCTGATAGAGTGTAACAAACTAACAGCTCAGCATAACAAAGCTGACAGCTCAGCACAACAGAATATAAAGATAAAATAAGGGCATGAATTGTAAACTACTCTATTACCTTGGTCCTAATGCTGTTTCTTGGTGGTCCAAGAAACAACAACTGGTGGCAAGGTCCAGTGCTGAAGCAGAATATCGTAGTATGGCTCAGCTAGCTGCTGAACTCATTTGGATCCAGTCCTTGCTTAAGGAACTCCATTATTCCTCTCAAGTTCCTAAGATCTTATGTGATAACTTGAGCACTGTCACTCTGGCTCACAATCCTATTCTCCACAACAGGACTAAGCATATGGAGCTTGATATCTTCTTTCTGCGAGAGAAAGTACTCAGCAAGAGTCTGACTGTTGCTCATGTTCCAGCTCAAGACCAATGGGCTGACATTCTCACCAAGCCCCTGTCTGCTGCCAAGTTTGTACCTCTTCGTTCCAAGCTGCGTGTGTTGGATAAGACTGCTTTGACAAACTTGCCAGCAGCTTCTAAAGGGGACTAATAGAGTAGTTTACAATTCATGCCCTTATTTTATCTTTATATTCTGTTGTGCTGAGCTGTCAACTTTGTTATGTTGAGCTGTTAGTTTGTTACACTCTATCAGCTATTTGTTAGGATTACATTGCTATATATAGCAGCCTCTTGTATCACTGTTCTATATAGAATACAATGAGATTCTCTTTCAATTCTCTCTCTTATACCTAATTCTATCAAGGAGGATAAGATAAGCTATAAGCTGGATTACAGTTATTCATGGAAGAAGCTTGAGGTGAACAGGTATTAAGACTGGGAGTAGTCTTGGACAGTTGAGTGGCAGGATTAGGAAACTTGTAGAGGCCATCAGCTCCCACTAAACCACAGAGCAGAACTTCAGAAGAAGCCTGAGATTTGACAACATAGAATTTAGGATGAAATTCAAAGAAAACGTTGTTATCCTGTGCAAATTTGCTTACACTTATCAAGTTTTTGGTGATGTGAGGGACAAGTAACAGATTGTGGAGTAAGGGACATGTTAGGATTGTTTGGTAAAGGAAAGTTCATGGAACCAACAGAGTTGATAGACAAACTATAGAAACAGACAATCTGTATTTCTTTGATGATTCGATAAGTAATACATGAAAGGTATATATAGAATACAAGGGACAGATCAATAATCCTAAATCTGGCCTGAGAATCAGAGCAATAATTCTCCCTTTAAATGCTAATTCTAAATATGGTAGAAGACAACTAATTACTAATTACTAATAGCTAATTACTCATATATTATTTACAATGAATGATGAGTTGTATAATACAGAATCAACAGATTCTGTACTTATCTCTTCCAACACTCCCCCTCAAGTTGGCATGAATATGTCATTCATTGCAAGCTTGCTCACCATACCATCAAATTGTCTCTTTGGAAGACTCTTTGTGAGAACATCTGCCACTTGACTTGTGGTAGGTACATAGGACATACAAATTTCACCACTGTCAATTTTTTCTTTAATGAAGTGCTTGTCCACTTCAACATGTTTCGTTCTGTCGTGTAGGACAGGATTATGAGCAATGGAAGATACAACAACATTGCAGATCAATCACCATGATTGAAATTCTGTTGTGACAAACTGTAACAACATACAACTAACAGCAGATAACAGGATTGTAAGCTAGCACACAGCCACTACTCCAATAACAATGCATCAGTAACCAAAATTTCTTAACAGTGACAGAATAAGCATTGATACTAATATGCATCCTAGAAAGAAGAAAGCATGTCAAACCTTGAGGGGCAACAGATTCTGTTGGTGGCGGCAACCACACTGCCGTCACCCCAGATTTAGATAAATCAGCAGCTTTAGATGCCATCTCCTGGTACCAGTGCCTTCTCCAGCTCTCCCAGTTAAATCCTTGAAACTTGAGAAAAATAAAATTCATTAGAGTTTATTTATTTATTTTTCTCCCCCCTTTTGATTGTACCATGCCTATATATGCATTAGATAATGCATCTGACAAATACTTGTAATATCAAAAGTTAATGAGCACCGCTAGACATAATCATGCAGATAAACAATGCATGTCTTATAATGAAACGCTACTTGATGAAATGAATGGTAAATTAGTTTAAAGCATTGATAAAAATAGGATATAGTGCACAAGCTCTAAACAATTCATGTTTCTGCATTCACAATTCAGCATTTGATTGTCTGGTGTATCAATTCAAAATATGATTATTGCATAATCTTACATATTTTTTATTGTCACAGAAATATTTTGTTTCTAGTCTGAGGAAGAAGAACATGATAAAGAACATATATAACCCGTAGAAATCATCAAGATTGGAACCTCCAAAGATTGAATGACGCACAATTCACCAACTTGGTCAAATGAAAAAACCATCAACACGATTTTCTTGATTGAAACTGCAAGCCCAAATTTCAAACTACAAGGTCCTATTAGAAGCAAAACTTGAAGAACCAAAATGAAGCAGTGCTTTAGACATTATGCAACAATCATACTCTGGACCACTAGAACAATTATATCAAAAGTAGCACAAAGAACATTAAACAAACTCGTATACATGAGTTCAGAAGCAGCCTGGCCATCATGTTAATGGCAGCCAATCCCGCTAATGAATGATGACATCTCATGCACTTGGAAAGTAAACTACAAGCAAAAGGCAAAATCATGAATAGCATTTAGTGTTAAGATTCAGAAAAATACCATGCAAAAATAAGCTGGACCTGAGAATAGTTCAATTGAATAATGAGTGTTGCATGATAAAAGGGGAAGAAAACTATATTCTAAGTAACTAATCACCAGATTTAAGCATCTCAACATGCACTTGGGGCTAATATGCATTTAAGCATGACCGGTCAATTTACTGGGTTGGTAGATACTAACCACAATCTCTCGCCCTGTTCCTGTTCCTGGTTCTGCATTTATGTCATGTTTACATGGGAGAGGTGAACCACATTAACAAAATAAATCTTCCAGAAGAAATTTTAAAATTTCATTTCAAAAAATGCAGACACATCACATGACCTAGTGTTTTTTGTTCAGGGGCTCTCTCAGTCTTCTGTCGAAGAGCACGCTCCAATGCCTTCCGCTTTTTCTCAATTGTTTCTCTTTCAAAAACATGTTCAATTAAATGATCCCCTTCCTTTGGCTTTTCTCGAGCAATAGACCATACTTCATCGGCTTTAGGCAACTCCAAGGATCTGAACTTTGATGTCAATGCTTCAGCTACATCAGTCTTTTTTGGTGGAAATTTGGGAATGACAGCCTTAATCCTTCTTGCCATCCACTGAGGTATATCTCTACGAGGACCGTCACTCAGTAGTTTCCATTTTTGTGAATCAACATCGGTCAAAAGGTCTATCCTCCCACCATTAACAACATATATTGAACCTTCATCCTCTTCGTCTAGTTTTCTTTCTTTCATAAGCAGTGATTCAGCCATTTCAGCTCTCTGTCTCCACATCTTCAAAGCATCTTCTGATGCCATTAATGACCTCTGCAGTGCTTCACATCTTCTGAGGTAGGCATTATCTTTACTAAGGACAACTTCTTTAGAAGCATCAATAGTAGCCTTTATGTTTTTCAAGTCAGTTTTAAAAGCCTTGGAAATTGCCTTTGTCTTGTCTGCCACATCTTTTCTCACTTTCTCCAATAATGACTTCATCTCCTCTTCTTGCTGTAGAGTGGTTTTCTTGCTTAACTCTTGAAGATCAAGCAAAGCTTTCTCTGCATCGATGGCCCTTTGTTCAAATGCCTTCATCTGTTGTCTGGTGTGCTCCAATTCTATGTTCAGTCTAGCAACCTCATTTCTTGCAATCGTCAACTGAGATTCTATATCATTTAGCATTCTTTGTAACTTGATATTTTCCACCTGGAGAGAGGCAATTTCCGTAAATGGAGAAGTACCATCTGTAAATGTTTCCATGGACTTTTTTGCATTTTCGCCTGCTTCCTCTGCCACCGCAAGAGCTCTTTCTATAGCATATTTTGACTTCTCTATAATGGATGATATTGTACCCTCAGTTGCATCCTTAATTTGCTTTTCGATGAGTTGAGCTGCTTCAGCAGCAGTGGTTTCAGCAGATGAAATTCTGAGTTGAGCATCTTGTAGTATATGAGAAGTTGCCTGCTGGAAAGCAACCTCCGCTAACTTTTCAACCTGCACTGCAAGATCAACAGCATCTTGTTTGGCAAGGACCAGCTTGGATTGCAGAGAGAACTTCTCTTCAACAGATTCCTCCAGATTTTTCTCGAAAAAAGATTTGGCAGCCTCAAGCTCAGATATAGCTACTTCTTTGTCATGTAAAATGGCATCGACGTATTCCTGCTTTTTGGCCTCAGAACGTGCAAGTTCTTCAAGCAATTGATCTCTCTCTTTCTCTATAGCCTCTTGTCTGTCTTGTGCCTCGGAAAGAGCTTTCTTGGCTGTCATTAATTCATCTTCTATTCCCAAAACTTGATCAACAACTTCATCTGTAAACATTTGATCATCATTCTGTCACAGAAATAGAAGAAAATATAGGTCACTAGCCCATTATTTCAAATAATAACCTTTGTCATTTGTGTCTACTCAATATTTCATTATTTAAAGACATGAAACTCGGTTTGTTACCTTTCTGTAGCTCAGTTATTAAAAGTGGTGTCGAGCCCAAAAAAAAGTATTATTGCGAATGAAGCAAACATCTAAATACACTTTTAATAGAGAACTAGAATTGATTGTAAGAACTGGACAAGTGTGTCTAGATATTTCCTAGAGGGAAAAAAGTAAAGTTGATAAAATAATCTTGGTTAAAAATATATACAGTTTAGGAAAAATTAGTGCCTATTTGATTTGAGAAAATGTTTTCCATTTTCATTTTCTACTTCCACTTTTAATTGCAAAAATATCAGTTTCTTTCTTTCCAGTTTTCAAAAGCATGTACAGGAAACAGTCTGAAAAAATTGTTTTCGCCGTTTCTATGCAAATATTTAAAAAGGAAAGAGTAAAAAAATAATAATAATAAAGTGTTTTCACCGTCTCTGTACAAACCTTTAGAAACAAGAAATAAAGTGAATATATTTGTAGCTCAAAGTGAAGACAAAATGTTTTCTCAAAACAAATGTCCTAAACTACTCAAAAAATTAATAGTATTCAAAGAGCAGTTAATGAGTAACTACTTAATGGCTCATGTGGTCAATGTCAATTGTTCCTAGACTAGAAAGATTTTCCCTAAGAACTGCTTTTATGTGATTGTTAGACTTAGACTTTACATACTAGCTAAACACAGTCCTTATAAAAAGTGTCGGTCGCTTTTGATTTAGCTAGTTCCAAAGAGAAAAAGGATATAACTTAATTAAACTTCCTATCAGTATATTGTTCCATAACCTAATTAAATCTTCCCCGTGTTAATAAACATCCAATAATTTTTTTTCTTAGATATAAAACAAAAGCTTCCACTTTGATATTTGTTTGAGGACCACTCCATTCATTCTAAGAAATGTACATGGGGGAATTTCTTACATTGTGTGAAAAAACTGTGTGAACTGATTTGAAGATCCTCTTGTCAGCAAAGGAAAATTTTCTGCAATAAGATGAACACAGAAGATTAAGGGAGTGTTTTTAACAACTTATTTGGACTTACTTCATGATATAAGCACCTGCAAAAGTGTTTAAAAATAGCTTATGACATACTTACGACCTATTTTCAACTTGTTTAATAGAATCAGCAAGATAGCTTATATAAACAGTTTATAAGAAACTTATCCCATAGCCCCTATTCGACTCCCATCCACCCCAAGTTCTGCATTAATAATTTAAAAAAAAAAAACATTGAGAATGCAAATAGATTTTAACGTACATATCCAAACGCAAATAGTTTATTAAACTTAGCATTTATCACTTCAAATTCTTCTTATTAAACAAGCTAATTGAGTTGTTTTTATTCTTCAAAATACAACATAAGTTCAATTATGCCAAGCACACCTGTTTCTTCTTGACAAAGTTGAAGTTATCCCACGGACAAAAGGGTGCCTCGGAAGAAAGGGATACCGTTTAAGAACTCCCAAAGCTGCTACATCAGGCAACACAACAGCTCCCATTTATGCCTGTAAAATTCACTGCAAAACCAACTTTCACTAAATAATAACAGCAACTGCAAATCCAACTTTCATTAAATAATAACAGCAAAAGCTGGAGGCAGCATGCTTAGGGTCTGTTTGGATGGACTTATTTGAGCTTATCTACTATCAAAAGTTTTATGATACAGTTTGGGAGACTTAATGTGTGTTTGGTTATGCAGTGGCGAGAATTGATTCTGATTAAAACTGAGTTGAATGTAAAGTGATTTATGTTTAGACACATTTACTTAAAAGTGAGTTCAACAACAAATTTCAATATAAAAATCACGTTTAAACTCAAAAGCTACAATTTTCATCTTCAAGTAAAATCAATTTTGAAGATAGAAGTAATTATATTTTAGAAGAACCAAACACCTCAAAATTATTTCAAAATCAATTATACACATCTAAAATTGATTTTGCCTCTTCCAAAAGCTAGACCAAACATACACTTGATCAAAACACCTTATGACATTTTTCATGAAAAAAAAAATTAACTTATTTTTATAAATTCTTAGCTAATGAAAACAATTTAGAAATTAAAAATTACAACAACTGAACTATACTACAAATTTAGAAATTAGTTGAACGGCACTTTTAATAGAGTAATCTGTAATAAAATGCAACTTCCAAATTAAAAAACAAAAATGATAAACGAGTTTGGAGAAATTTTCATACCTTGTTTGAACTATGCGAGCTGCGTTTTTTCTACTTATCTCGATTTTACTTAGATCAATGTTGAATTGGAATTTCGAAATGGCAGGAAGAGGTTAGAATCAAGGACGGTGCTGCAATGGCGCGGAATCGGAGAGGTTTCAACGGCCTGAGAGTGGAATCACGAAAAGTGTAAGAGGGTAAAAGTAAAAAGGGAAAAAGAGAGTGTAGAATCACGTTTGAAGAGTCAAAGTTGGAGCTGAAAGTGATTAAGAAAAATCGCTTTCTGGAGAAGTCGTTATCTGCGGTGAGTCACTCATTGCGACGGCTCACTAGTTTGGCTTTTGTTGGAGGGGAAGAGAGACTATTTTATTTTAAATTGTTTATTTTGGTTCAATGTTTTTGAGGTCAAGAGTCATCACATGTCTAGTATCATATATATATATATATATATATATATATATATATATATATATATATATATATATATATATATATATATATATATATATATATATATATATATATATATATATATATATATATATTAGATTATGTATGGATATCATGAAGTGGAGCATAATGAAGATATCATTTTATTGTTTGGAAATTTTAGGACGGAAAAAGGTAAGTTGTTGTTTCCGCCCAAATTAGAGAGAAAGAAAAATGGTGGTAAATGACAGAATAGAATGAAATCCATACCACTTCATTCTGCTCCACTTCATTCTTTTTTAAATTATCTAAACAATGAAATATCATTTTATTTCATTTCATTCCGATCTGTTCCATCAATAAAGCCTTAGAGTAAGGTTGAACATCGGACGGTTTAGATCGATTTCAATTTTAAAAAGTTCATTCAGGACAAATCGACGAAAGTTATATATCAATCCATTTTTTCTTAATTGTGTCCACATATAGCTTTAATTATGGATTTTTCATGTAGGAGTACTTAGTTAGGCTTTTAGCCGTTTATAACATTAACATTATTTATTATTGAACCATACTAATCAATTTCTCACAAAGAACACTTAAGAAGGAAAAAGAAATGAACATCAAGAAAGAGAAAAAGAAGAGTGGGCAATAGAGTAGAGTATGATTTGGTGGTAAAAACAAGTTTCTCATATTTTAATCACCCACTAAAGCTTTATTAAGTTTCAATTCCAACAAAATCTAATTTTAAGCAATAAATCGCTACTAATGTAATAAACGATACACTACTCTATGAATTGAAAAACCAAGGCATATGATATACTACGAAATGTAAATGCAAGAGTAAAAGGTAGAGAGATGACACGGTGATTTATAGTGAAGCACTCCCTAAAGTTCTTTATGTCATCATCAGAAGTCAGTCGAAGCAGTCTTGTTCCTTCGACAACTCGATTTTGGATTTCAAGATCTTCGTTGTTCATTGTCCTAGAAGTACTGAGAGATGGTTTGAATGTTGTATTAAGCCACAATTGGAGAAGTCAATATGGGTCAGTTAGGAGTAAGTTTGTGCCTGCCTTGTATTCTTTAAGTTTGGAAGTAGCAGATCCAAGGCTTTCATATAACCCAGTGAGAATTAACTCACTAAGGCACACTTTTCGACCAGAATGGAGTTGGTTTTCTAAAGTAATGAATCTTTTGGCAGCTTGTAAGGATTTGCAGTAAAAGATACACCCTTGATAGCCAAAGATCAAGGAAAACTATATGCTCAACGTCAGACACTTTGTCTCCTTCGACATGGTAAAGATTCATGTATTTGGTAAAGGCGGCGTTTTCGATGACAAAGTTGATGGTGTTCCCTTCCTGTTGCTAAGGATCGAAAGTTTATCTAATGGGTGGGAGTCCAGTAATAGCAGCCACATCAAAGAGAGTGGGGGTTATCATTCTGCGGTGGAGATGGAAAGTACTGTAAGTACTATCCCAGAAGTACAATGAGGACATCAACATGGGTTGACAATAATTAAAACCTATCTTTGACATTTGAATCAAGTCGAAGATGTCTAAGTCTTTCCAGGCTTGGGATTTTTCCTTTTCGACTTTAGCCAGCCAAGCAAGATATTGTTTGTCAGCTACAGGGCAAGACCTAAAAGGTCTAAAGTTTTCAGTTACATAGTCGAATTAAAAGGGTTTATTTTCAGTTATAAAAATTGAGAGAGGTTCTTTTTTATTTTCTGTACAGATGATTCTACTAATTACTTATCAAGTTTGTCATTCTTTTTCTTCTTAAGAGGTTTAGCTTTGTTAACAATGGGTTTTGTATCATAGAAAACTGAGAAAATGTCCTTAATCTATTCTAAACATGAAGAAGATGACATAGGACCCATATACCCTAGGGTTTTATCAGCAAGGGTAAAATAAATTATTACCTGAGAAGCGTAAATAGCTTGTTGTTCAGCAGAAACATGTGGTGTTTGAACCAATTCTTGATTTCCAACGAGAATGGGTTTTGTGATGTGGTGAATCGGTTGAAATGCAGCGTTATTGTTATTCTTCACTTCCTTCTTCTTCACATTCTTATCAGATTTGCTACCCTTTTTAGATGGTGCCATGATTGAAAGTTCAAATTATGGACGATTAGAGGTTTTTGCGAAAGAGATAGCGTGAGTTTTTTGAAAACCAGAGGTTAAGAAGATGAAAAAGTGTGTTTGAGGAAGAAGAAAGGTATTTATAGCTAGAAATCATTCAATTTGTATTTTAAATATTTGAGTTAGTGGGGACACATGGTGATTTTTGATAAGTTAAAGAAGAAGTTTACTTGTTGAAAGGCCATATTGGGAACCTACTTCAGTAAGAATGATGGAACTGCTGCACACACGTCTTGATTATACGTTTTTGGAAAAGCGCATCGTGATTGTTTTGATGTCATAGCAATTAATGATTATCATGAAGATTGTTTGTCCGTCGAAACATAATTGTTTTGCAAAAAATGTATGTTTCTCCAAGTATGTCGAAATACATTTATTAGGGGCAATTTATTGACTGGGAATTTCGACTATATGAGATCTTAAGTTGAAATGATATATTTTGAGAAGAATGTAGTTCGAAAGGAAGTATGAAGGAGTCTTTATGAAGATTTTGATGGATGAAGAGCTGATAAGAGTTTTATTTCACTAAGTGTTGGGGAAAGGTTCGTATGCGAACCATTGGGATTTAAACTATTCGAAGTATCAGATTAGACATTTTGACCGTCACATTTGGCACTTCGAAGGCAAAAGAGTTTTTCAAATTTGAAAGTTTGATCTTATCCAAAGAGACGCGTGAAAGCAAAAGGTTTGAAGGCGCATGCAGATATCGAACGTGGCCACATTTTATGAAGAGACCATTTTGGTCGAATTATTATAATAGGGGTCTTAGTATTAGGGTTAGGTGTGTTCACATCTTTGTACAAATTACTCTAAATTACTCAAAGTGTCAGTTGTAGCGGTAGAAATGTTGAGACTAAGCCATTGGATTGACTTAATTCGCACAGATCAAATAAAAATTGCTACCGCGCTTTATTATTTCCAAAGGAATGGGAAAAGAGAGAATACACCCAAAAAGAAGGGGGGAGAATCTAGGTACGGAGGTTGGTTATGCAAAGAGAAGGTATTATCACCCTAAACATCTACGGTACTCTGCAAGAACCTCTTTGAAATTTTGTGTATTTTAGCTATAAATGTTGTATACAAAAATAGATGGTGGAGATGAGAAAAGAAGTATTTTTTACAATTTTTGCACCCGCCGCGGTTGTGAATCTTTAGTTCCTACCTACCACCTTCCGTGTAATAGGGGATCAGGGTACCCGTAGTTCACCTCAAAAATTTCAAAACACATGTGTGTTGGTTAATTTTAAGAGAAGAGATATCATCGTCATATCTGAGTGGAAAACATACTTACTATCCACAATTATGATAAATGAGAATTTGTATCATCTCAAAGTGGAGGATATAACTTGGGTTTTAAAATCAACAAAGCCTCACTCAACACCCAAGTGGAAAATATCTCACTTCACTACATATCGTAGAAGTATAGTAGCTCGCATCATTACAAGGATAATCAAGAATCTAATATTTTGAGAAAAGTTTTAAAGTAAAAAGCCAAAGTGACAAAATAGTTTGAATGAGGTTAATTGAATTTTAGTCTTATCACAAAAAAATGTTAAAGTATGATTAAGTTGGTTAAAGTTTGGTTAAGAAAAGATTTTTGAAAATGCACGGACCTAAGTCAAAGTTTATTATGAAAGCGGTTCAAGTTAGAAAACAAGAAGAGTTTTTATGAAAAGGAGGGATAAGATTTTTGAAATTAAAGAAAATAGGAGGAGATGAAGAGACTATCCTAAAGTATAAGGTAAAAGTTAAGGAAAA